ATTTAATAAATAATATTTATAATAAGTTTTTTAAAATAAAAATGAAATCTAATAAATAATACTTATAATAAGTTTTTTTTAAATAAAAATGAAATTTAATAAATAATACTTATAATAAGTTTTTTTAAAAATAAAAATGAAATTTAATAAATAATACTTATAATAAGTTATATTTATATGTGTGTGTTTAAAAATATTAATAATATGTACAATTAAAATATGTTTTTAATTACTAAATTTAATAAATTAGTATGTATTAAAAATAGTAATTATATTTATAATGAAAATTAAATTCATTAGACTTAAAACTGATTACAACAATAAAGATCACTAGTGGCGAAACTAAATGCATGATCAATATTTAGACATGTCTTCCTAATGTGACTAGGGGTGTGACAATAAGAATAATTTTTGACACGATTATGTTGTTCTCTAATGTCCATCTCTATTCTAATCCTGTTAGACTTGGACTGACCCTTGGAAGTTCTTTTGAGTTCCGGATTTGGCCACAAAGTTGGACTAGTGTAAGTAGGTCAATAATCTTCATGTTGGAGCTCTCCAAACTGTCCTTCGTATACCATTGCAACTTGTTGTATGGTATATATGGGAGATATGTAGCTTTGATAGTCGTGGTGTGCATGTAAGCATGAAGCAAGTACATGCAAGCAAGGGATATGAACTTTTTGAAACTTGCAACAATCACACCACATCTCATCTAGCCTAACCGTAAATCTCCTAGCAGGTCAAACTTCTCCCGGATGTTGCGTTTCTTCCACTAGAAATCTAGTGCTTGATTTGCCAAAGGTGATAACTCTATGAGTGTTAGCCTTTGACTATGCATCTTGAATAGTTTTGCTTGCAATTTCTGAGTAGACCTATCCAGCATTAATCATTGCATCTACTTCCCGGTCTCTTTGAACGAAGAACTTGTTGCAACGGTGTATGTCGCCATTATCATGGAACATTGGCAGATTACGTGTTTTCTTCAATACCAAATTAATAGACTCTGCTAGGTTGGTTGTCATGTGTCCCCAACGTCGTCCATTGTCCCATGCCAGTATCCATCTGTTGCCTAACCATTGTGCTGCTTCAGCATTATTATCTCTTACTATGTTGTAATAGTAAAAGAATCTAGGTTCAGTCATTCCATAGGCTGCAAAAAAAATAAAATTAAATAATGAAATCTAAGTTACAAATGTTTAAAAAATAAGTAATGATAAAATTACCCATGTTGACAACATCCTTCTTCAGTGCTGCATTTTTGAATCGTCGCATGAAGTTCTGTGCAATGTGTATAATGCAATAAACATGGACAAAATTATTTTCTGCCCAACCACTTCCATTTCTAGAGTATGCACTTCGAATAGACATGGACATACTATGGCTAATAATGTCACTACAACTTCAGGAATCCAATGAAAGTGTCTCTCCGGCTCAATCAACCCACCTCTATAAATAACCATCCTAACTATCATAGTAACTATCATTCTCAGTTGCATCCTTCTTTACTTCATTTGAAACTTCCATTCTCAATTGCATCCCTTTTTGTTTCGACTCTCACTTATCAAATATCAAAAATGTTGTTGTGGAAGCAAAATGAACACAGGTCTGCCTTCATTGGTAGAACAGTAAGTTGAACACCATTTGTAACATCCTGAATTTTCTACTAGTATGATGGTTAATTATTATTTATTTTGATATTTATGGAAATTATTTTCTTATAGTTATTTTAATGGGTTTTATAGGATGTTTTAAAGGTTTTTAATAATTATTAGTATTTTAATAATAAATATATATATATATATAAATTATTTTTGGATAATATTTTGATTTTAGTAGCCTAGAACGAGTCGTTCTCAAACTGGAACGGGCAATTCCAGACTACTAAAATGGCCTATAAAGACTAGACTAGAACGGGTCGTTCCAACACATGATTCTATGAGTAAAATGCGAAGCCAGAACGGGTCGTTCTGATTTGAGAACAGGCTGTTCCAGATATGGTCATTGTAGGTAAAATTTGATTTCAGAACGGGCTATTCTAGTTTTGGTACAGGCCGTTCTAAATGTGAAATTTACGCATGACAAACAAGTCCAAAACGGGCTGTTCTGGATTTGAAAAGGGCCATTCTGGAGACTCCTGAAATCTATAAATAGAGCACTCTGACACTATTTTTTGACACACTCTCTAGAGACCAAGGAGAACCAAGAGAAGGAAATCAGCTAGATTCTGCTCTAGCTTCATCTTCTGCTTATCCCGACAAGGAGGGAGTGAGAAACCTCGCTCGGGGGTGTGGGAGAAATTGTTGGGTAGTAGGATTGGCTCCCAATTCCTTGCCTGATGCATGCTTCTAGGAACAAGCAAAATATGAATGTTTTCTATTTTGTCTTCTGATTGCTCTGGTGTGTTCCATGTTAGATGTAATGTGTGAATATGTAACTAATTTTGAGAATAAATATGTTTTGATATGAATTATAGTGCTTTGTGGGTTCCTGACAGAACCCTATTAGAAACAGGCAAAATGTGAATATTTTTTGTTTTGCTTTCTGATTCTTCTATTGTGTTCCTTGTTGAATGAGATGTATGAATATATGAGTAATTTTGAAAATAAGACAAGTTTTGATATGAATTAGAGTGCTCTGTGGGTTCTTGTGGGAAACCCTATGAAGTAAAATTAGGAATATGATCTTTGGATGATTTTGAGGCAATATATGTAAAATTGATATGGCTTCATGTTTTGGATAATTACTTGGTATGATTTTTGTATATGACTACAAGAAATTTCTTGCATGAAACTATGTGAACATGATGTGAGAATGTGAAAGGTGAACGTATGATATGTGATATGATATTGTGAAATAATGTGACATGAGATATGATGAGACGTGATAAGTGAAATGTTGAGTCAATGAAATAGTGGATGTGTGACATGCATCATGTGCATCTGTGATCTATTCTACGTGTGCCGCTTAGGCCGCATACCGGTGATGTAACAAGCTAACAAGGTGTACTTTAGGGTCACCGGTGATGTAACAAGCTAACAAGGTGTACCTTAGGGTCACTAGTGATGTAACAAGCTAATAAGGTGTACCTTGGGTCACTAGTGATGAAATGATGAGAAATGTGATTATGAGACATGTGATTGTTTTCACATGCATTTATGAGTCAAGTCCATGAAATCATTTCATGATAAATGAGTGTACATGTGATATTGACTATGTATGTGTATTGTTTATGTGTGATTGGTGCTTGTAACTTGTTATATGTTTGTTGTATGTGTTTGTTCTATCTAACCTTTATTTATGCACCTGAACCTGAGTTAGATGTTTCTCACTCCCTTGTTGTTATTTTTATGTGTTTAAATTGTGTTGTAGGTGATCATCAGCGTGAGGATGTTGGTGATGAGGCTTAGCCTTTAGTTGGGCATGCTCTGATAGGATATGTGATATCGGGACATAGTTAGGCTTAGTTTAGGATGTTATTTCCATTAACTATTTGAAAATTCAGTTTTATTTCTTGTAATCTCACTGACATGTTATTTGGATTAAGTTTATGAATGTGAACTCTTTACCCTTATGTAGTTGGAGATTTGGTTTTTTTTAATGATGAAGAATTTTATTTTTATAATTATTGTATATGTATGTTGGGGTAGAGGGTGTCACACCATCGTTATTTGCTTAAAATTTCAATGAACCTCTTACACATAATGGTACTAATTTTGTTAATCATTACAGGAGACTGAAAATATTATTTCTTTTTATTGTCATTCAGTGCCAGAATCCCACCCTCTAAATTT